CTTATTGATTGAAGTATTGATGGACACATATACTGTTTCCAAGTTTAATTATTTTAATGTATATGATAATTTGTTTCATTTACATTACTAGTTTGTCTTTCAACAAAGAGAAAGTTTTGTACTACTATCTGTTTATTTCTTTTTAATAAGAGTGGGATTTTTTGGCTATGACATATTGAAGTCAAATTTTCGTTATTCTTTTAAGATTATGGTAAACAATGTATTAATTATTATTATTATTTTGCTATTAATTGTCTCTTTTTTCATAAAAGGTATAAGAATGATTTTTATATTTTATTGTTATTATATGCTTGCATTAAATTAAAATAAATAATTTCACTAGGAAAAAAAAAAAGAAAAAGATGCCTGTTGAATTTATACAGAAAAGTAGGAATTATGTAACGTATGATTTAAAACTGGTATCCATCTTTGAAGCTACAATCTTTTGTTTTTCCCAGCTCAGCCTTCCCTGAGGGTGGGACCGGTGTGGCATGTGGTGCCCAGGCTCTTTAGTCCACTGAGCTATCTTGCTGGCCTTGAAATTACAATCTTAAGGAGAATTGAAAATGTGGAAGTTATATAAGTTATATATTACACCTGTAATCCCAGCACTCAGGAGGCTGAGGCAGGAGGATCATTGCAAATTCGAGACCAGCCTGGGGTACAAAGTGAGTTCAAGGCCAGCCTGAGCTGCATAGCAAAACCCTGTCTCAAAAAGACAAAAAATAAGATAAAATAAGAGAAGTATTGTAGATTAAGAAAAATATAAGTAACTCATAGGAAAACCGGCAGATGATATGACTAGAGAAATAACCCAAAGAAGAGCAAATTTAATCTGAAAAAAGAAACAGGATATAGTAGCCAAGGATGTATACTCATTAGGTCATCAAATTGTAAAAGAATCATAATACCTTTTGCTTACAAGAACATGAAGAAAAAACAATCTCACATGTTACATATAAAAGCAAAAACAAAAGTATAGCAGTCTGCTTTCTAAAATATAGGAAATTTATCTATCTATCTATATATGCATATATAATATTTACATATATAATATATGTACTCTCACACATCTATCTACAAGTTAAAAGCAACATTATATAAGTGCATACACACAATGGTATTCATGTGAACAATAGAAATTTAGAAATAAAGTGAATATTCATTGATACAATAACTAGATATATTGTGTATACATGAAATATTTTCTAACCTTATAAAAGAATAACACCCATACCAATAGAATTTGATAGGTTTCTGAGACAGGGTTGAGTTATAAAACCAAAGCATATTAAGGTTTATGTAAGATTCTATTTCTGTAAAACAAATAATTAACAACAAAACATCACCAAGCCCACAAGAGTATGTGTGTGTGTCTGTGCTGTGTGTGTGCTACACCTACGAAAATAGAGAAAAATACAGAAGGATACACATTGGTTTGCTAATATGTAGGGATGGTATGAAATGGTAGAACTAGGAACTAAGCCAAAAAAAATGACAGGAAACAATGAAACTAACCTGTATAAAAAATTAATTTAGCAAGCATGTTTATTTATTTATATAAGAATGTAAATGTATAATGACATGAAATTTTGAAAAGATACAGTAAAAACCTCAATATACAACATGGTCTCTGCTTATTTAAAAAAGAGGAATAAGCAAAATGATCTCTTGGGGGTGAGATTAGGGGTTATGCTTAGTTTCTTCTTTATATGTATCTATATTTTGAATAATGAGAATTGTTATTTCATCATAATAAAATGATGATGATAATAATAATAATAATAATAATAATAATAATAATAATAATAATAATAAATGCTACTCTTCAAGCATCAGGCTGAATTATTTGAGCTCATTTTGGAAAGCCAAGTGAAAGAAACAGTTTTAGATGCTCCTTTCCTGGAGGATTTGTCCAAATAAGAAATAGATAAAATCAGAATCCACTAGCCCTGACCTGGTAGAAAGTAACTCACCTAAAGCAAGAAACTAAATGGCTACTTCAAGGAGGCTTTCTGATGCCGCAAATGGGGCATTTTTCTCTCTACGTAACACCTTAATGACTTAAGTAAATCAGAAAGCCATTTACAACACTCTCAATTATCCAAGGATCTGCTAGGTTCTTTCTTTCTGTTCCTTCCCTCTGGCTTTAGGGCATTTCACTGCTCAGGGTCCGCTATAAACTGGGGCCAGGGGGAAAGAGGGGTGATAAATAAAATCAGTTCAGTCAATTCAGTGTTTCACTAGCAACTGTATTAAAAAGTGGGATAAGTGTGGTAGTCACAACTCACGATGAAATATGACTTCCAGGACTCTTAAATTTCATTTAAGTAAACTTGCCCTTAGAGAAACATGATTGGTTTGCATACATTTTCATGAATTAGATGCTTGCCAGTTTTGAAAAAGTCAGGACTTGTAACAAGTGATATTTTTTTTTCTCTCTTCATTTCACTTTTCACTTTAAGAAAAATAACACATTAAAACCCCCCTAAGAACAGTGAGTGCCCTTCATTGTGAGGGACCACATCCCTAGTGGAGCAGTAGGAGCACAATGCAAGTATGTCAGAAGGACGTTTTCTGGCATGGAGCATGGTTTCTACAGAGACTTGCGCAAGGCAGTAATCTTCCAAGGGAACATGTCTTGGCCAGATAACCACAAAGACGGGCTGAAAAGTATTTATCAGAGCCTGACAAAGTCCACACTTTCATGTACAGTATTTCCCTGTTTAGTGCACCCTCATAGACTTTCATCCCGTGGGAAATCCCAGACAGAGAGATACAAGCTCATGGCATTCAAAGCACATCATCTTTTTAATCAAACAGATAAAACATCATCTTTTTAGTAGGCAATAGAACAACAACAACAAAAAAAAATTTCTCTTACTTAAAGACCACGATAGCTCCTGGACATGGAGGACAGGCCAAGAGGAAGATCTGCAAAAGAAAAATTAAGAAGGGTTAGCAGGAGAAATGCTGAACACAGACAATGTTACTCTAACAATAAGATACAAACAACAGCAACCCCCCAAAAAACTCTAACATAAATATTAAAAAGGTAAAGCTGTTATGTTTTTTGTATCAGTTAAAAATAAAGAGGCAAGCAAATGGCTTTCCAAAGTATATGTTCATGTTTGCAAGGCGTGTGTGTATGGGAGATATGGGGAGAGAGTCACAGGAAGAGACAAGACTGGATCTCTCAATGCTTCAAATTCAATATGGCTTAAGTACTCAATCATTGAAGTTTTCAATTGAATGCAGGTAAAAATAGATTCTAAGCCTCAAGCACACACACACATACACACACACACACACACACACACACACACACACGCCCCATCTGGTTTGCCTCCCATGGGGGAAAGTGGGTTTATCAATACCCAGCACTGCCAAATTTAGAAATAAAAGCACAGGCCTCTAAGTTAAATTTGAATTCCAAATAAACAATGAATAATATTTCAGTATAAGTAGGTCCTAAATAGTACATATAACATACTTATACTAAAACATTATTCACTTTTTATTTGGAGTTCAGGTTTAACTATGCATTCTGTATTTCACCTCGCAACCGTATCCAACTGCTACCATCAGGTTCCACAGCTAAATTTGATTTGATTCTTTTACTTCTACGCATGTCTAGGTAGTTTTTACTCTTCTGTTTTCTTCTCCGGTAAAATCAAATAGAAAGAATCTTGCCTTAGGAGACCAATCAGTTTCTTTCTACTTTGTGTGGCTTAGGCCTGGGCAATAGCCCTTAAACATCTGCAAGTATGTGACCTTCAACTATGCAGTGATTCTCAAATGTCATCAAAGGGACATAAAATCCACTGCAAAAATTGCTAAATTTCTGTATTTCCCCATTAAGAAGCTGGATTTCAGAAATCTAAGATCCCAGGACCCAGCCTGTTTTTAAAAAGCTCCAGAAGTCTGACTACTCCTAGTAACCTGACATGCTGCAAGTTTAATCTCTAAACAATGACAGGTTTAAACTACGAAGGCATTCAGCAGGACTAAGGACAAAAGACTGAAATTCATGTTTGTGAAGTTCCTTTGCCTTACAGTGACTTAGGGCAGTGGTTTAGAAAGTACTGACATGTGTCCCTAATTTTATAGAATGTTGAGGAATACAGAAAATTTGCATTATGCACCTGTTGCCTTTGTCATGTGTATGCTCCTTAGCATTTGGTTCCCCAGTTATCAGTCTACATTTAGAAGAAAAAATGTACTACCGGGAAAATCAATATAAGGAAAGACACAGGCTGCGTAGTGTAAATCCCTGCCAACAGGAAGAGAAAGAAGAATGGAAACAAGGGTCTTAAAAGAATACATCAGAAATCTATCACCTCCTCAATACTTCATCAAAGAACCCCTCCAAGGAAAGAGCCAGCAAGAATGAGCCTTTCCCCTATGAATCAATTTGAATAAAAGTACAAAATCAATGGTCACAGGTGTCCAAACCTCTATTAGCAATTGTGAAAGCCATACTAATTGAAAAACTGAAGTTTTGTTTCTTCAAAGCTAATGTGATGGGAAAACCTGACTTCAATGGTGATGACACTATTTGTACCTTATTTATTCTGCTTATGGTGAATGTTCATATATTTCTATAAAATAATGATAATGTATTTGATTGTACAGTTCTGCCCCAGCCTTAGGGAGTGTATGCTAAAAACACTACCATATATTATACTCTAAAATCTAAATATATTCTAAAATCTAAAAGACTTCTGAAATACATCTGAGTCTACTGGTTTTAGATAAGGATTGTAGACTCAAATTTTGACATCTACACTGTAGCTTATCCCCACTCCCCTTCCTAATCCTCAGGTGCAATCTATGACAGAAATAAAGACAGAACTATGTACCCCTAATCCAGCAGTAAAGTTACTCACCTTAGGCAAGTGACCAAGTGGAGGCTGAACATAATTACCTAGCATCAGGCCCATCAAAGAATCTGATCCTACAGTATATAGAGGAAAAAGAGACCCATCCACCTTGGGAAGGTCCTCAGTACTTTTGGAATCCTCAGAGTCATGCTGGCAGTCTTCTTGAGTTTGAGGAATACACCAGATACTCCCAACAAGCTAAATATAGAAGTAAAAATGCCATACTGGACCTCACAGCTAAGGCTTACTTTTCTATACCCCAGCCAAGAGGGGATAAGTGGATTCTTGGATGCTATTATGATTTAGGATTAAAATGTCCCTCACAGTTTCATATATTCAGAGATGGGGCTTTTGGAAGGTAATGAGATCACATGGGTACTAAACTCATCAATGGATTACTCTATTGATAAGTCTATAAAAGTTGACTGTGTTGCTTGAAGGGGGTATAGTTGGAGGTAGGTCACTTGGGGCATGATCTGTAGGGTGTGTTCTTGCCTCCAGTCTTTCCTTTCTCTCATTCTCATTCTCTCTCTGCTTCCCACTTACCACAGGATAAAAAGCTATCTTCCACCAGGCCTTTCTACTATAACATCTTTGCAGTGGAGCCAGCCAACTCTGAAATAAACTCCCTGGAAACTGAGCCATATTAAACTGCCCTCCTTTAAGTTGTGGGTGCTGCGTATTTTGACCCAGTGATGGGAAAGGTCACTGATTGCTGTGCCAATTGCCTTATAACTCCATTTGGTTATTTTTTCTTTTCTTTTCTTTAGCTTAGCACTATGGTATTTTTTCATAATTTTTATTTATTTCAATGAGAAAAAAGATAAAATAGCAATAAAAGTTTTAAAACAGGTTGGTAGGATGTTTATAATAATTAATACATTGCATATTGTTCTCTTCATAGTAGTTATTCAGAGGACAAGATGCAGACATAGCTTGTCTAAACAATATTAGTATAAACTTTTATTCTCAATGAATTAAGAGAAAGTAGCTATACATCTATCCTAACTATCTTATGTATACATATTTTTTTCCTTCCTCCCTTTATTCCCACAACAAAACTGTCCTTTATTTACACTTTTGTGAAGTTAGTAACACATGACACTAGGTTGCCTAGCAACTGATAGCTAACCTTAACCAGACAGGATGTTGATCTCAGGAGTGAGGTAGCTTGTTTGCTTTAGGCACTAGGCCAAGTCCCACCTACATATATTTGATCGATTTCTTAGCTTTGTGGCTCCCAACATATTCCCCTTTTCTGTTTTGTTTTTTCAGAGATGGGTGTTCCATTGCAGTCAGACAAGCTGTATTTGGAGAATTTTCTTAAGGACCTTTTAGTTCTGCAGATAACCCATTACTATTATGGACTATTAGACTATATTGGGTCATCTGGCTGTTTTAGATCTTCTCTATCCTGAAGCCCAGGAACCTACAACAAACAACAAATGTCAAGTTCTGATCAAGCTGGCTGTCTGATTATGCTCCATCCATCATAGAGCTGTCTTCTAGTCTTGATTCTAAGAGTGTTCCAACAGTTACTTGCATGAGACCGACTGAATCTAATCAGCACTCTGGCCTTTCTCATCTTGCCTGCCTCTTCCCCTCATGAAGGCAGAGGGTATTTTTAAACAATCTTTAAATCACATACAGTAGATTTAAAAACCCTAAATTCAACATATTTCATTTCTAGTAAGCTGCAGCCTCCTTCAGCAACTTCAATAATTGATGATATTGAAACTCTATCATGCCAGGGTAACATCTATAATCACTGCCAGCCAGTGAAGCTTTGTGAAAATAACATTCCAGAGGCCCAAGTGCCCCAGTCATGTTGTGGCTATCCTTATTTTCTTCCTTGTTTGGTTTCCAACTACCTCCAAACTATGATAGCATGAGCTGTAACCTAGTAGACAAAATGTTAAACTATACCCTGGGCTACAAACAAGGAGAGAAGAGTGGACATTTATAAGTGCAAACAAGAAAGATGAGAATGCACTTGAGCCTATCCCAACCACCAACTTGGCACATTATTTTCCTAAAATCGGTCCAGGGTGGCTCCTGAAGTAAAGGGCAGAAGCAGGTGGCATACAAAGAAGAGCTCCTGAATAATGTTAATTTCCTATCACCTGGGAGGTAGACAGAAATGTGCTATTAAATTCTATTTTATAGGGCTGGGGATATAGCTTAGTGACACAAGCACCTATCTGGCAAACACAAGGTCCTGAGTTTGATTCCTGGTACCTCCCTGCAACAAAAATCCATTGTACAGAAGAACAAACTGAGAAAGAAAAATTCTGGGGCTGGGAGATAGCTCAGGAGAACAAGTGCTTGCCTGGCAAGTGCAGGGTCTTGAGTTCAATCTTTGGTACTGGGAAAAAAAGAAGAAAGAAAAAGAAAAAAAATTGACAAGGTTTCAGGTGAGAATGCAGAACTCCTAATTTCTAGTTCAATGTACTTTCCATGTCATACCCAAAAAGTATCATGCCTCCTGGGGACTTATCTTCTTTTTGCTTTAGCCTTGACTGTTGACCACATGGCACACAGGAAGTCACCCCAATGGCCACCTGGCCACCTACTTATGCCACCAGCTAGCTCATAAGGATGACAGATAAGATCTACTTTCTACCATGAGACAAGTCAAAACACAAACCCAACACAGCAGCAAATCACACTTACACAGATGATGATCAGTGTCCCACATTCCTCAAAGACAGGTTCATTTTAGTTCCAACTTTCCTGATCTCTAAGTCTGGTGGGCACTTGAAGTTCCTGAATACTCACAAAATTGAGTTCTTTTCTGGCTGATTAGTCCACAAAAATTCACAAGTTCCACTCAAATCCAGCATTCCCCAGGAATGGTTCTTCTACTCACAAGCTTCTCCTTGCACATTCAGTTCCTTCGTAATCACTGGATCAAGGCAACAACTGCTGTCCCAGTACCACTTCTACCTTTGAAATTCTCTAGTTTAAGGTTCTCACCATTGCCCACCCCCACAACCTTGTTGTCCTAACCACAGTCATATCAGCCCCAAGCTCACTTCCATCATTGTTTGA